GCTTTTGTACGCTTTCGACATGTTTCAATTTCTCACGCATCACCACCCAAGGAATGGCTTCCTTTTCACTCTTACCAGCGATGATCTTGTCGAGTGTAGCACCAATGCTCATCAAACCCTGATTGCGCTGATCCTTGATGGATTTGAGCTCAACTTTAGCTGCCTCCAACTTTGGAATGACTTTCTTTTCAATTGGTGTTGGTTTCAGACTTATAGTTTCTTCAGTCCATGATTTGATTGGTTCTGGTTTGTAACCGGGAAAGAAGGGTTGCTTGTCTAGGGAACGACCACGTCTAGGGCGAGATGATTTGCGCCAGGGTACAAGATTTGAATGTGGTTGTAAAGATTTACTGCGCGGTTTCTTGGTGCGTGCGCGTCCCTGATGGGGTGCCTGCCCGTTGATGGCCAAATATTGGCCATACTGTGGTGCGCCGGGCTGGCGTTGTGGATGTGGAGACTCGGGCGAGCTGTCTTCTTTTCCTGATGATGAGGTTTCATCATCTCCGGAATCGATTGGTCGTAACTGATAGGCCGAAATGCGTCGTTCTGNCCCCTATGTTTTGACCCTTACCAGAATGGGTTTCAGCGCGTAATGGAAGCGTAAGCGTTGTTTCATCAAATAGCAAAGCACAGGGTTTTAGAAAAGAGCTGGTACTTACTTTACTTCTGATATGAGTAGAAAAATTCAACCATTTTGACTTTCATTCGTTTTTGAATATTTTTGTTTGGGGTTTTTATAAGTACACCACATCAGCATGTTGGATTTAGAAATGAATGCGAATGGTGAAACAAAATTGTTTCAATGGGAAGTTGAAATAAGCATTTGAAATCCGTTTTACAGAGTTGCAATGGCCAAGAGAGAAGAACACTGGAGCAGCGGATTTCTTTCTTTTTTTTAAATTAATATTTTTATCTTTTTTAATTTAGTATAATTTTTTTCTTTTTTAATTTAATTATAATCTTTAGATTTTATTGTTTTAAAAAAGAAAATGTATATTTTTTAATTTTGGCACTTATTTTATGTATTTTTTCTTTTTTAATAAAATTTTTATCTTTCTTAATTAATTTATTTTTTAATTTTTAGTTGTTATTCTTGAAAAAAAGAAAATTTTTTAAAGCTATAATTTTATTTTGTTAGTTTTTTGAATACATTTTTTTTTTTTTTT